AACTCTTCTGGGAAGGCTGTCCACAAGGTTTACGAGTGTGTCTATGGGAATGTTTGACCATTCTTCCAGAAGCGCATTTGTGAGGTCAGGTACTGATGTTGGACGAGAAGGCCTGGCTCGCAGTCTCTGCTCTAATTCATCCCAAAGGTGTTCTATCGGGTTGAGGTCAGGACTCTGTGCAGGCCAGTCAATTTCCTCCACCCCAAACTCGCTCATCCATGTTTTTATATACCTTGCTTTGTGCACTGGTGTGCAGTCATGTTGGAACAGGAAGGGGCTATCCCCAAACGGTTCCCACAAAGTTGAGAGCATGAAATTGTCCAAAATGTCTTGGTATGCTGATGCCTTATGAGTTCCACTCACTGGAACTAAGGGGCCAAGCCCAACCCCTGAGAAACAACCCCACACCATAATCCCCCTCCACCAAACTTTGCACTTGGCACAATGCAGTCAGGCAAGTGCCATTCTCCTGGCAACCGCCAAACCCAGATATGTCACTCCAGAGAACACGTCTCCACTTCTCTAGAGTCCAGTGGCGGCGTCCTTTACACCACTGCATTCGACGCTTTGCATTGCACTTGGTGATGTAAGGCTTGGAAACCCATTCCATGAAGCTCTCTACGCACTGTTGTTTGGAGGTCTGTAGATATTGACTCTGCAGACAGTTGGCGACTTCTGCGGACTGTGCGCTTCAGCATGTGCTGACCCCACTCTATCATTTTACGTGGAAACACTCACCTCTCCGCCGGCTTCTGGGTCTTCCAGGAGTCCCGTCGGAGATCCGGTGACGTCACGGACATCGACGTCACCGGACTCCTCCCCCCTTACCCTAATGGCTCCATCGGCTAATGAAGGAAAGGGGGAGGTGTCCGGTGACGTCGATGTCCGTGACGCCACCGGACTCCTCTCCCTTCCCTTCGTTAGCCGACGGAGCCACTTGGGCCGGTGATCTGTCGACACTTATCAAGTTCTGCGACCGCTTAACTTCCGGTTTCGTTACAACTAAGAGGTTTGCCCAAGAAACTTGTTCTGCATGAGCGCCAGCCAAAGCATTGGCCTATACACATACAGCACAGCAATGAAGTAATAAAATGAACTAGGATCACACTAATCCAGCATGTTATTATTCTGAGTTGCCCCACTCAAGCAGCAGCCATATTGAGTGGGGGCACGTGAGATTAATAACGTGCTGGATTAGTGTGATCCTAGTTCATTTTATAACTTCATTGATGTGCTGTATGTGTATAGGCCAATGTAGTTGGATCTGTATGTGCGTTATAATTAATCAAAATGAATTGATTTAAAAAAATTTCGATCAATCGAACACGGAAATTGTAATCAGTAACAGCCCTACTTTGTAGTACTAATGACCATAACCTACTACACCAGCAGTTGCTAGTACACAACTAACTCTGGTTTGCCTCTGAAGGCTAATACCAGCAGTGTGAAAACTTTCCAGGTTTTTACATGAAGATTGTGACATGCTTTGCCTAGTCTAAAGTCTTACAGACGTAATACTACTAGTACAGTATGCTATGTTTGCTTGTGGCCTGGCCTATTGCCTATATTTTTCTTACACTATAGATGCCAGTCTAAAAGCTCAGTTGTGGCCAGATATAGAAATGTCAAATGTGAAGGATGTGCAGATGCAGTTATCACATTACTTTTAAAGCTAACAATGAAAGCTGCCTTGTAAAGCTTAACTGATGAAGGGCAATACTTGGTAGAAAGTTGATTACATAGCTATAAATATCAGTTCCACCCTCAGAACCAATGTCACTGCTGTAAGTAAATGTGTGAAAAAATGTTGGACTTACTTTGGAGAATAATTGCAGACCAAGTACACAGCTCTTCTCCACACAGCTCCCCAGACGTTCATATTGTAACATGTATTGATTGCACACCCTATTCTGTTAGTTGTTGCCCAAACCATCTGCCCGAGAAAACATATACAAGAGAGTGAACATTTTACACTAAAACATAGAATCATGTTGCAAAATTAATATACCTATACATATACAATACACATTTTAGAGCATAACAAACCTGTGTATAATGTGTGCACATTGGTCCAAAGCATCTCAAAGGACATCTAGGATTGCAGTCTTGAGGATAAGGAAATGCATAATCCTTTACTTCATCATACCATGGTTTTACCAGTTGTAAAATAGATTGGTATCTGCAGTAAAATGAGAATATAATATATCTTTATATTATGTATTGGTATGTGTTCTCATGATATTCAAGCTTCAATAATATCCCACCTTGAAAGCACTGGCGCTAAAAACTGCTTCTGTACACATTGGGCAAAAAAGTATAATGTTATAGATCTATCTTTGTGCAGAGAGAGCTGATGCACTGAGATCCCTGTGGTTGGCTGATGTCTAAACTGTGCCCTATATTAAAGTGGAAAGAGGGGTTAGATAACAACATACCTGCTTAATGTTGATTCCCCTTCAGTTGTATGCTCCCCACATAAATGTTCTTCTAATTTGGTGTCTAAATATATTTTTAAGACATTTTTCACATGACTGCAAAGCTCCAGTGCTTTCCCTTTTCTCTGACATTTTTATAGGCTGGAGAGCATAAACATTCTGCCAGCTCAACAACATCCTGGAACTATGCACACAATCTGGTGACATCACTGTGCTTTGGAATTCAACAGCATTGTCAGCTGACAGAGACACACAGGGGGGAATTTATCAAAACTGGAGCAGACAAAGTCTGGAGCAGATTTGCATTGCAACCAGTCAGCTTCTGTGTCTCATTTTGAAATCTTACCTGAGCAAACTGAAGAGAGATGCTGATTGCTCCAGATTCTGACTGCTCCAGTTTTGATAAATTCCCCCCACAGACTAACTCTGTAGACCGGCTAATAATTTCAAAGTGCAGTGATGTTACCCGATTGTGTCAATAGAATATAATAGCAAAGGGGATCAATATTAAACAGATATGTTGTTTCCTACTTGTGGAGACTTCTACTAATGTGATGTCCACCTATGATCATATTGTTTACAAAAATAACATAAATATGTTTCCTGGGAGTTTATACTCACATTTAAATGTAAAAAAACATTGACTTTTAAAAACACATACTACCATACTATCGATGTGGATTTTGCCACGTACACAAGTTGCACACAGTCACCCTCTCTCCGGTGCTAACGGGGTAATATTCATGTGTGCCCTACTAAAAAGTAAGTTTACCAAAAATACAATTTTTACCTTCCTGTCCTTACTGAGAGATTCTGACCAAGAAATCTCATCAAGTATGGAGGTCCGTGGTCCCAAATGCAGGCAGCTGCCCAGGCTTCAGCAGACTTTGCCAAGCTTTCATCCCAGACCTGGAGGAGGCATTATAATGAATTAGAAATGTTAATGTTATTTTTAATGTATCAATAACAGTGTGTGTTAAACAAAATGCAGTGGATAGATCAATCAGCACAAAACAAAACAAAATTGCCTTCTAGAGAAATTTGAGATGAACTGAAATACAAAGAATTTGAGGTCTACGGGCCTGCACCCAATTCCCTGTTATCTTAATGGTAGTTATAAAGGTTTATATTTAGCTAGTCCAAAAGAAACTAACTTTTCTGCCAGTGTATCTATTCTTATGTAGACATTATCTGATCACATTTGTTTTCTGAATATATAAAGGAAAGCTTGCATGTGCTCTTGGAGATCATGTTTAACTGCATGACAGGTATGTAAAACTATAAGCTAGAGTTAAAGAAGGAGAACATCACCAATTTCCACAATTATATATGTGACCAAACCTTACCACTCATGATTTTATATTCTTTTGTGTCTTTCTTTGTTTCTTATTGGATTGCCGGATTGTGACAAAGACCTTCTGCCCTATATTGTTATAGCCTTGTTCCATTAAAATTCACAACTATTTATGTATTTCTTACTGTAAAACACTACACAGCATAATATTGCTCTATAACAACAAGATCACAGCAATGTGCTGTCACAGGCATTAAAGTGATATTAAAGTCAAAAGGTATTTCATCTTTTTTAAATGCCTACTATTGATGCTTCTTTTAAAATTTTAGTTTCCTATAGAATCAGCTGGTTCTCTAATGATGGCCCTGATATCCTGTTTTAGGGTGGCTCCATTCCCTTGCAGGGTCCTATGTAGCCACCCTTGTGTTTGCTAATAAGTTGTGTGTTTCATCACAAACACACAGGCAAGGCAAGCCCTCCTCTGATCTCCACTACTTCTTCCTCCCTTCTACAAGCTAGTAGATAGACAGCTGCCTGAGACTGTTCTGTCATTGTGATCTTGTACTGGAAAGGAAGTTCAGGGAAGCTGAAGGGAGAGAGTTGGAGCCAGCTATTTGGAAACATGATGACTGTAAGTGCTTGGGCAAAAATGTATAGGAATACTTTGCTGGGCAATGTATACTTGTTAGATCTGCGTTCATTATAAAAAAAAAGAAATTGAGAACTTAATACTACGTTAAGGGCTTTCATAAGGTGTAATTGTGCCAGTACTTACACTGCTTGTACACATTAAAATAACACATTACTTACACAGTCTTATGCAACATAATAAATAAGGACAAAGAACAATAAAGATAAAAGTAAACTGCCCACAGTATCCAAACTTCAGCTTTTAGACGTTGAGACTACTTCATTGGAATACTTTAAATTCAAGCTCTCTAGAGCATTCCCCATGACAAGCCTGAGGAAGCTTTTTGAAGTGACTTTTTGTAAAATTTCCAAAGTGTCCCTCAAAATTTACAAAAGCCAAGAAGAATTTATGGAAACTAGAACTGTTGCCCATAGAACCAAATGAAAAAATATATAGCAGTAATATATATATATATATATATATATATACCAGGTGAGAATTTATGAGCAAGGTCAAAATATGGAGTCCAACGTCAGAGAGTCTACGCTGGAATGTTGTCACGTGTTTCAGTTCAACAAAGGTTATAAACAATGGAATTTCCAATTAAAAAAACATCTTGACTCTCTTATGTGACCTTGTCCTATATGTATAATAAACTGTAACCTTCTAAATTACATGTAATCTTTGTTGTTACCCTATGTATTGAATTACTATTCACAAAATGGATACTTAAAGTATATATAAAGTCATTGTTTTTATTTTGGATAGAGTAGGTAAAGAGTTAAAACCTCTGTCTGGGTTTTTTTCTATCTGTGTCCCAGTAGATGGATTTAATTTCACTTCTGGCCCTGTAGACTCAACAGGAAGTGAAAGGATATATTTCCAATATGAGGGAAATCCCCTCTTAGACAGTTGTCAAAAGAACAAATGTTCGCTTTGGAAGATTTTATTCCTATTCTAATGGCAACCCAAAATTCTGGATTTACTCTCATTTTCATTCCCATTGACAATGATAATCTGGACAATTAGAGAAAGTGAATCTTCCTAACAGGAGCAAGGGCATAGTGGTTCTAATCCCTCACCGCTCTACCCAAATCTAAATTAATATTTAGTTATACTTTATATGTTTAGCATGGCAAGAAAATGTTATTTTTGATCCCCTTAAGGTTTTTGATGGAGAAAAGGAAAATCGTTCTATATAAATTCAGTCCTCTGCTTTCAGCTGATCCAACAGAAGATAAAGTAAGCGATCTGATAACATTTTAGGCGCATTGCATACCTAGAATAGACTTGGCGTCTTTAGTAGTAGCTAATATTTAAAAATGTAACCACAGAACAGTCAAAGCTAAGTTTGAGCCAGAGCTCATGGGGGCGGAAGCATAGTTATGCAACATTAACATTACTGAAACAATGTATTAAATACAAAGCAAAATAGTTCAAGTTCCAACTAGGCAGGGGCATTTTAGGCCAAAATTAAAACCAAATATTTATATAAAAGCACCTGCTTAGAATAATTTGTTTATATATAGTTCAAAATATTTAATTAGACCATTGCTGAAAACAGTGTTTATAGAACATCAATATTACTCTTTAATGTTTATTTTGCTTCACTTTTAATTACTCTAAGAAGTGTTAGACAAGACTTGCTATTAGAAGCACCAGATGCCCACTGCAATCAAGAAGTTGGAAGAAATCAATTCTAGAATGGCAATACAAACCAAAGAGCTGGCATATCTCAGTATATAGCGGCTGGTGTAAGAAGGAGCAGAAGGCTCACTTTGTTGAAAGCAATAGCTTTGCCTATTAATTAGCAAATTAACCCAGAGTAAAGAAGGGGAGTAGCAGCACCTCACCACATTAGCATAATCCTCCAATAGAGGAAATTGAGCTTGAGTATCAATGTTTGAAAGTAGTTATTGGAGCCAGATAGAACTATTGAGAAGGTTTCTAACATCCCCTAGGAACCCTAGGGGGGAGCTCTCATAAACATTAGATGCTACCACAGTCATTACAGAGTTAAAGTCATACTACACCAATGAATCCCACCCTGTTCCAGTTTTATAATTCCATCCTTGGTGTCAGAAAGTCTGCATAGGTGTTCAACCAGTTGTCTCCTTTGTCCTAACTGTGACGTGCATATTTTAGACAGAGAGGACAACTGGTTCACAAGAGGCAAGAAAAAAGCCATCTACCTCAACCTAGAACAACTATCTTTGAACAGGGATGGGTGCCTTCAACACCATCTGTCTCCTACATGCTGTACTGCTGTTATATCTCTAACCTTCCGTTTTGACGACAATTTACACCTTCAATCATGTAAATCGAAGGTTTACCACCTATACAGACTTCCTGACACCAAGGATGGGATTATATAACTTGAAATAGGTAGTTTCACATTCTGTACTTAGAAAATCAATATCTTCCTTTCCATTAAGGTCTGCACTACCTACAGGTAAGCATACTATAATTGCTGAGGTATTTTCCTGACACTCATCAGCATTGAAGAAGTGGCTTAGAATAAACTACAAACCGTCTTCGACATTACAGAAGAAATCCAGTTGAATGTGACTAACTGCTAATAGCTGTGTAAAGCTTTATAGAATTGTAAAACTGTAAAATATGACATAATGTGAGGCATTCTCAATTAAAGTTTCACCTACTTTTCCACATACTTAGGGGAGTGCTGGGCCATGTCAAGGTACCAGATGATCATTCTTGACATTCCACTGTAGAATTCCTATGCTTCCACTGGGATAATAAGCATGAACAATTCTGCCACACTTTGCAGGGCAGAGTAAATATGGACAGAGGTGAACACGATGCTATAATTCAATATTTTATTACATGTGACAAATGAATGCCAGAAACACGTATGCAATTTGAGTATTTTGGCAATACCTAATATACAATGAATATTTTTTTAGCAACAATGATCAGCTTCATGCAAGTTTTATTAACCGGAGTTAATGTTTTAAAAACCTTGTTTCTGTGTATTTTTACATGGAGGCAACCACATTGGCTCCTTCCAGTGCAAAAATGCTAACCAGACATCCTGCTGAGATTATGCTTCAGGTTGCTCTGCTCTTTACCCTGTTTTCTTGTTCCATGTCAGCACATACAGCAGAGCCTGATTGGCTGGGAGGCTGCCCCTCCCTCTCCCAGTCTTAGAGCTGCTGTGTAAAGGATTACAGGATGCTGTAATAGATGATATCACATGAAATACAGGTACTTAAGCTAGTTGCATTTAAGGAATGAACAGTTGCATTAATGAACCTGTGCACTGGCTATGGACATTCAAATATTGACATATATCTAACAAGCAATAAATAAGCTTTAATAAACCCTCACTGACCACTGAAGATGTGGGCACTGTGGAACAATTAATCCTCAAACTTTATAACAGAGGCACTGTGGCAGGGTTCTTCTCCATATCTCAGTAGCTTTAAGGGCCCATTCATACCTAAGCTGTTTGTTGCCCGTCGATCAGTGCGACAAACAGCTCAGCTCTAGGAATCCTATTCATTTATATGGCCCCTGTGCACATGTCAGTGTTTTGTCACAAGCAGAAATATGCCTGTCACATAAAATACTACATGCGCTACTTTGGGGCAGATTTTAGCGTGTTTTGTCCTATATACCCAATAGACAACGCTTGAAAAACGTGCACTGAGATTTTTTTGGCGCTTTTTTGAGCGTGATTTCCCATTAACATAATTGTGCCCACAAAAATGCTCAATTTAATATATGCGTGTAAAAAGCTTGCAAAAAACGCACACAAAAAAGGCGTAACAGGTGTCGTCTAGGTGTGAATCCAGCCTTAGTCTCCATTCACACCTAGACATCAACATTTGTTTTTACGCATGTCTTTCCCTCGCATAGTTTTGCACATTTTTAAGCACGTTAGACGCGCATATGCAAAGATCAAAATTAATTGCACTGAATGAGGAAACGTGCACAGATATTTGCAAACCGCTTGTGTCGCGCGTTTTAATGTGCTTCCATTGAAGTCCATGCGGCCGAACGTGCTGTAATCTGCCCGAAAGAAGCTCATGTACCTTTACCTTGCTTGCAACAAATCTCTCAGGTGTGAACAGGGGCCATACATAGAAATGAATGGGATTTGTTGCACTTAGCTTTGAGCATCAAAACACCCAGATGTGAGCAGGGACTAACAGCGACTAAGCAACCTTCCAGCTTTCTAATGTCAACACAGAGTGCCTCATTCATGTTTATATTAGAAGGCTGGAAGGCTTGCAAGTCACTGCTGGGAGAGGGAGAAGGCTGAGGTGCTTAGAAATGATTAGAGCCCAACCATTCCTGCATTGTAAGTGAGGAAGCCAAGGGCCCATCCATAACCCAGAACATCAGAGGGAAGACAAGAGCACTGGCTAGTTGGGGAAAGATAGATTAAGTTAAGTAAAACTGCTTTTTAATGGTGCTTAATGCAAAAATGTGCATTTAACCTTGCAGTGCAAATTCAGCTCAGCTTCCAATACCCATAGCCTGGCCACAAGTCCACTTTAATTTAAACACTGAAATAATAATTTTATTTGCGCTCTTACATATGTCTAGCCATTTTTTTTTAGTTTTGGATACAATGGGAATAAATTAGAATCCCTGTTGAGGCTCCATTCGAAAGATTACTTTTCATTTTATGTCCTGGTGATAATGGGTCCACCAGATAGAAAGGTGGGACATCTTCTCTAAAGGTTTTGTCTGGACATACTGTTTAAAAAAAAACTATACTATAATTTACCTTTAAAGAAAATGCCTTATACCTCACAATCACAGCACATAAACATTCCCATTTGCTCTCATATGTAATCACCTTCCCCACTGTCTATAGTGATGTAATTACCTCATAAAGAGAAACAGTAAGCTAGAATGTGCCTGAGTAAATAATTATACATCTAACAGTGGCACATTTGATATCATTATACTCTCATATTATACCAATGCAATCAGGTTATGAAAAATAAACAATACAACAATGGACACTGTAGGCCTCATTCTAAGGTCTTTCTTAGGGAAAGTTAGCTCAATAAATAACCACTTTTGGCAAATACAGTATATTTTTAACTGGCACAGCTTGTATTTAACAATTCAAAAGGGTCTCTCTTGATATTCATATTTCCATCCTTAAACATTTTTAAGGAAAGCAATTCGGAAAAAAACAACAACTCTATTCTCTAATGTGGAGAAAGTCAGAGAGGCCAGTCAAGATGGACATCCATCAATTTAAGACCATCTGTATTGTATGGGGCATGTTGGTGGTCTGCTGCCGCAGTAACCTGCTAGCCAGCTGGCCACTGATACTTAACACATTGTCTGGGGGATCTTTAAAGCATTTCTAGACAGGTAAGAATGTGAAACATCTCAGGCCAGAATGTTTTCAGACTGCTCTTTCTACATGACCACAAACAGCTCTACACGTAGTCCAGGAAACAAGTCATGTTCGGAAAGCATGGTTTCTTTATGCCAACACAAACAATAAATCATAGTAAACAGGGCCGTCCAAGATTGACCAACTTACTGGTTAAACAAACCACTTCTAAAAGGCTGCACTCAGCACAGTACTGTAAGTCTATATGTACACATACATTTAATTTATATCAGAGCCATGGGTGGAGGCCGTAAACGAGTTATTTATGGGAAAAGTATAGGTGTAATGTATTTTTGTCTACAGTGTTTGTAACTGACAAAACATGGGGTTATGTGCAAGAGTGAATAAATGGAAAATCAGATATGGTAGACAAAACAGGTAGATGTGGTAAATACTATAGATATACTTTATAGAGAGATTTACTTGGTTCTTTCATATATAACATTCAGTATAGTGTATAGTCTACTAAGTACTGAAAACATGCAAAACATGATTTTATTTATAAAGGGACAACTGTTTTATCTGAGTTCTTATAGTAAATGTAATAGTCTTATATAGTACAATGTGTACATTTAGATTTACTACGAGGTTTTGTTGCATCTTCTGGCCTTGTTTTGCTCAGTGTTGTAATTCTTTTTTAGCTCTTTTAGCTAAATGTGTTTTAAACCCGTGCCAGGAGTATGTAACCTGAAAATTATCAGATATTCATTGAATTTGGCTGGTTTTTAATAAATGTGTTCTATTTCTTTGAGGTGCAAATCAATAACTGACATTTGGAGTCCATGAGAAATATCACATGGACACATGGGTCTCATTGTTGAAAAGGTTGAGTAATTGTAGACTAAACTCCTGCTGGTTCTTTGAGGATACTGAAACAATTTGTATGATACCATAGCAAGCGTTCCTTGGCAACAATGAATTTAGAAGCTTCACCTCATAACACTACTGTCCCTAGTGGCCAAGTGGAGCATGTCACGACCATGTGCTTGAAGGACCCTTGATGCATATATGATGTTCTTTCTCTTTGTTCTTAGACCCCTTTCTGTATCTGTTAAATTACCTATTTATCTACTGTATATACAATGTGCTTTTGTTGATACAAACATATCCCCTATGTTGTATAAACATGAGCTATTTAGTTTTTTAATAGTTAAAGCAAAAAGAGCATAAAAGGATGTATGTAAGTGTATCTAAAGTTTTGGACAAAGAATGCAAGGGTTTAAACCTCTGTCGTGTTTTTATTGCTGTCTGTGTTCCTGCTGCGGAGAAGGACCCCTTTATTGGCCTGGTAACCATTGCCACTATAACAGTAAGTGCAGGTAAATCCACCTTTAATGGTTGTCTCCACATCGGAAGGAAAGGTGAAATCATTCAATAAGGACACCTGTTCTTGTGACACTTGTCTTAGATGGGATTTCTCTAACTTTGCAGATATTTCCTCTCACTTCCTGTTATGTCTCTGGGACAAGAAATAATAGGATATCTTACCAACTAGACAAGAACAGCAAAGACGAAACTGAAGCTTTGTCTTTAGTTATACTTAAAATATGATTGACTTATATTATACAATCTCCTAAATAATAGTAAAAATTGTTACTAATATTTGCAAAATAACACAATCAGCAAATTTAATTTTAGTAAATTCATATAAAGTATTGTCTAAAGAAAACCTATACATGTAGACTTCCCCTTCAGGAAATACTATCATTTCCTGCCTGTCATCCTAGTGTGGATTCTTCCCAGGTTGCTGACCCAGGCAGATTAGAAGCTCTGACTTCACTCTGACATTCCTAATCTAGACACTTTTCTCAGGTTAGTGGCTCAAAGAATTAAGTCCAGAGACATCCAAACAACCAGCATTTTCAGGAGGGGATCAGCAATGACAACCCTCCACCCCCTTAGTTCAGATTTCCTTTAAATGTTTGAATATCACACATGAAAATGAAAGGAAATTAAAGATACCCATTGCAACCAATCAGGTGCGTGCCCCCATATTCTCCCTCACACTAGACCAATGACAGATGGAACATGGTTCCAATGTTTTATTTTTTACAGTTTTTATAGCCAGGGCCGGCCTTAGGGGTGTGCGAGCAGTGCGGCCGCACAGGGCGCCATGGCAACAAGGGCGATAGCCAAAAACAATTGTTTTCCAACACTGATTGTAAGACAATAAACATTCTACTTGTCCTATTTGCTTCAGTTTACCTAGTATTAGATCAAACACAGTTAATTTCTGATTGATTGATTGATTGAATGATTGATTGATGCCAGGTTACTGCTTTCTGCAGACCCGTATATAAATTACTAATTAATCCCACATGTCACTTGGGAAAGAACAATCATTTTGTCTAGAAACCTTCAGCAATCAATAAAAACTATGACGGCTTTAAACTGGTAATAATGAAATTCTATTGGCTGGCATTGGTGACTATACATCATTGCTCTGTTCAGTCTTAAAGGGTAATTATATCCCAAACTGCATGACAACATTTCTGTACCTACCCCCCCCACCCCCCAACAAGTCCATGACAAAGGTATCATTCTTATATTTGGACTATTTTAGTCTGCACTGATATAAATTCAACCGGGACTCAGCGTTTGGTTTCACAATTTGAAATTAGCACTAGCATATCTTGCCATGGGAATCTAGCAGGATACAAGTTAAAATCTGCTGACTTGCTTTGAAATTGCAAATTCCAAAGTTGTCATCTCTTAGTCATTTCTTCCTTGATTACTTACTATCACTGTCCCAGAACAAGCATGTGCATATCAGGTGTCTTGACAGCAATGCATATTCTTGCTTTGGGCCAGCAAGTCATCCAGAAGCAAATTAAGAAGAGCAATGATGGTGACTCTGGAACTAGCACCTTCAAAACCAAGCCAACAATAGTAGCTCTCATGTTTCTATACTGATGGGTATTTTTAAACTCCATAAGTATGGTATATATTGCAACATGTATAATATGCCTTAAATGTACTTCTAATATATTAATGAATCACCCACCATGTACTCCATATTTGCTGCAGGTGGAAAGACTTTGCTTCTGACTTGGTTATGGTATTCAAGAATAGCGATCATATCATTTTGGGAAATATAGCGCTTCCTTCTGGCCTTGGTGATATTTTCTGAGTCCAGCTGAGCATTGAGTTCTGGCTCTAGAATGGTAGAATTGCTGGCTGATGATAATAAGTCTGTGGAATTAGGTAACACTAAACCACATGTTTCACAGAGGAGAGAAAATATAAAGGCTGCAGCCACAAAGCACATCTCAATCATGCTTGGAAGGCAAGGCACAAACTTCAGATACAGTACAATGGTTCAAAATTAATTGCTTCTTGAAACCTATATGAAGATATGAAGTAGACAGAAAATAAATATTATATAGTAAGAATTATATATACTGTACAGGATGTTTAAATTACAACAGTGTTATTAAATAAGACAAATAAAAGATATATGAATAGCAATATAACTGACAAAACCAATAAAAAAATGGAAAAAGAAAAATGTTTCTTGGAAAAAAAAACAACCTATTATTTAAAGAAAATACACACGTAACAAAACCATGCCTAGGAACTGCTACTTAGAGTAATAGCAATTATTATTTATAACATAAACTGCAACTTAAGTTAACTTGACAGGCAGATATTAAAGACTGCCTAGGAAAACGTCTGTACTCAAAAGTGTATTAAACATAATTTGCAGTTTCCATAAAAATATATACCACAACCTTACCTTTTAACAGTGTGTCAGTCTTGCACTAGTGCAATGTCTATTGCTCTGCTATGAAGTGTTCAGCCTTTTAAGGGAAGGACATATCCTGTTGTAAATTCAGTGAAAGCAAAACTCTGCTTGCTAGGAACTTCTGGCTGCAGGATTTGTTAAATGATAACAGCTTTTTATATGTTACAGCCTGGACTCTCTTGCCAGACCCTGGAGAAGTAAAACGTACAGAGGAGGAGTTTACAGTACAGTACAGTACAGTGATTGGGTGGCATCATATCACAGGGCTGGTAGGAACAATGGCACATCTAAATTCTATCACAAATTAGGAGCAGATTACCTGCTGTTATTTTCTTTTCTTTTTTTTTTTTTACTATGAAGAGAACTCAGAGATTTATTGGGACACAGTGGTTTCCTACCATTATGAATTCACAGAAAGATTTTAGCCAAATAAAAGGAATATATTAAACTGATGCAGTGGGTACTTTGAGCACAGTGATTCTTGTAAGAAAGGTTTAGCTTTTTATTTATTTACTTTATTATTTCAAACATGTTACAGAGTGCACAATGTAGCTATCAATGCTTAGAGTAGTGAAGACATTTTGGAGTTTAGGTGATACCGTTTATTGTCTAAATTCACTTATTAGGTATTTGGGATACCTTAGATCCCTTCCCCAGGCTTTATACATTTCATGGGATCTAAGAAATCCTAAAAGCTTGCATCTCTAATAGTTTAAGTTTAGCCAATAAAGGGTATCACTTAAACATCAAACTTTCTGCACTGTCTGATGGCTAACAAGGTGCAGTATTCTACTACTGATAGAAAACAGTAGCGATAGATCTGAGTATGGTGCAGAGATTTATCTGCCCATGCCTGTGCAGACTCTAGTTCAACTACTAATGAAAGGAGTTTTCCAGCAGCACTCAAAATATATGTGTTATGGAAAAATAAAATGAAAACTAAAATACAAAGTGTAAGGACTTTCCCATATGGGGATTTCATCATGTTGGGAGCACAGAGCATCAGAAAGTGACTTTAATTTAGAATAAGGTTACCAGATTTTCAAAATGAAATTTGGGGAAGCCCTATTGACCGTGCCCATTTTTAACCACACTCACAAAATAGTGGCCCCATTTGTAGCCCCACCCACAAAATGACGCCCTCATTATTAGCATAGTTTCCAATGATTGGTCAAAGATATTTGGAGCAAGATGAAGACATTCAAGGTATGTCTTCCACAGCAACCACAGCAAATTGTGGGTGGGACCAAATTGTGGTAACAGTGGGAGGGGTTTAAAGGGGAGTGTTTAAAAAAAACTAAGTCTGCTCGGCTCTGAGTCAGTAGTAGGGAAGTAGTAGGGTGTAAGTAGCCCAAAGAGGGCAGGTAGAAGGCGTAAGTAACCTACAGAATTCAGAGGTCAGGAGTAAGTAACCCATAGAGTACAGGGGTCAGGAGAAAGTAAACTATATAGTGCAGTGGTTAGGCGTAAGTTATCCGCAGACAGTAGGGGGACAGAAGTAAGTAACCCACAAAGTGCAGGTGTCAGGAGTATGTAACCCATGGAATGCACAGGTCAGGAGTAAGTACCCACAGAAGGCAGAGGTCAGGAGTAAGTATCCCATAGAGTGCAGGGGTCAAGAGTAAGTAACCCACAGAGAAAAGGGGTCAGGAGTAAGTAACCAACAGAATGCAGAGGTCAGGAGTATGTAACCCACATAGTTCAGGGGTCAGAAGTATGTAGCCCACAGAATGCAGAGGTCAAGAGTAAGTAAACAACAGAATACAGGGTTCAGGAGTACGTAACCCACAGACTACTGGGGTCAGGAGTAAGTAACCCATAGAGTGCAGGGATAAGGAATAAGTAACCTACAGAATGTAAGGGTGAGGAGTAAGCAACCCACAGAGTGCAGGGGCCAGGTGTAAGTAACCCATAGGGTTCAGGGGTAAGTAAAGCACATATTGCAGAGAACAAGAGTGATAAACACACAGATTGCAGAGGTCAGGAGTAAATAACACACAAAGAGTAGAGGTCTCAAGGGTAACAAACCAGCAGAATGTGGCAAGTTGGGCACCAAGATGCTTAAGAGTTTTTAATGCCATTCTGCTTAGTTTTTAGCCCAGAAGGTCCTGGTGAGATACCAGATTCTGTGCACATTCACGAGAAGGTACCAATTCCAATTCTGAGTACTGTTGTTACACTGTACATAGAGAAACATAGTGCCAAGAATCTGGCACACCTAAATTACAGAACCCAAGCAGCTTTAGCCAGAGACTTGGAAACCCACACTTATTTTCTAGCAGGGAGTCCAAGCGAGAGGCAGCCTGCAGCTGCTGTGTTGCTAGAGGTCTGATAGGTGGCAGTGGGCTGGTGGGCAGGAACATAAGTCGGCAGTCTCATAGATGACATATTAAAGGAAAAACATGCTGGGGGACTACTCAGCCAAGGAAGGTTTCTTTACCGGGGACAATAAACGGAGAGTGTACCTGGCAAACAGGGATGAATAGTAACCAGGAAAATTGGATAGCAATCTAGTGCAGGTACTTCCACTGTACGGTAAGCTTAATTTGAAACTCCAGTTGAGATTTACACAGCTTTGCAACACAGTAAAGCCCCGTATGGCAGCGCAGGAGACTGTTTTTTCTCTGCTGCGGTTCAGTGAAAGGGGAAGCAGCTCATTGATCAGTTCATAACTCTGTTACTCTGCTCTCTTTTTCTATCAGCATGATCCTTGCACTGCAGCACACATGGTTGGCTTCTTGTGCTGCTTCTCTCTCTCCCAGTGTGAGCTTTGCTGTACAGGTCAATGCAACAGACTGATACCAATTAAAATGAAGGCACTTAAACTGCTTACAGTGTAAGTAAATACATGTATTAATGAATACAGAACTGCATTCATTTGTGTCTTTTTTAGCTGCCTGGAGTTCAGCATTAGAGGCTGTTTCACAATCATCACCCAGTTAATGGGATGAGTGGAATAATAGCAAGACAATACATTGCTTTCACGAACAAAAAGCTCAAGTCCAAACCACAGATGTCTTTTAGTCAGATGTGCCAGTTACAGAGGTTTAGACAGTGGTCCCTGCATCATGTTATACAATTTCTTGTAAAACAGTCATCATAGACAAATAATGGGACATCTTTCAGAAACAGCTTTAGGAAACATATACTGGAAATAATGTAATACTTGGTGACAGATCGTCAAACACTTTGGAACAAATTAGAAGTAAAGAAGTAAAACGAAGCCCTAACTAGATGACATTTAGTTTTCTAAAGCACTGTGTAATAAACAGTGCCCAGATGTTTTTTGTTCATAAATTACTGTTTCACTTTTTCCTTTATTCATTTTGACATTTCAGTGCTCCTAATCTCCTGCAGCCTCTTTTAGCTACACATACTCTATAGCCTTGGCTTCACATTATTGCTCTGGATCGGCTTCTTCAGTCAGGAAGATCACCCAATGTACCTTTAAGTGGAAATAAAGTATCTAAAAAAAGTGGGGGGCAGGAGCTTTTAGCCATAAAGTACTAGCAGCAGAGCATATTAGCACATTATGGCAGTCTTACCTGCCAAAAATATCCCCTCTGGCATTGCGGTGTCTGCTCTCTTCTCCCATTCCGGTGCTCCCATCTTTCTCCTAGTGTTCTTCATATAGGTTCTAAATTTGTTTTTTGGAAGTTAAAAGTCTTTTTGATACTTTTATAATAATAGCATCCAATGAGCTGACCAGTTTTAGCTTTGGAAATCTAGGGGAGCAGAAGCCACCATCTGTAGTAACAGCAATCAGCTTAGTTGTCACAGTTCCTTTAAGAGCAGGTGGCAATGAAAAGGCCATAGAATAACTCCAGTCTTAGCCATTAATATCACATAATGCAACCTAGTCTGCCCTGTAAATGACCCATGTCTAACCTGTACTCTGTCCAGGATTGTAGGAAATTATATATGGATAAATCATAAATAAAGTATATTTACAAAATTGCAATCAATTTTATTGTACACGAAGAAACATATTCCTCCCTCATAATGAAGTTTACTCATGAAGCGTTCACCAGCTAGCATATATAACCTTTGACTTTACTTAACAGGCTTATCTCATAGCTCAAAGCAAAACATTAAACCCTTTAAAGTTGAACGTATTCCAAAACACAGAAGCTGCCAACTTGTTTACGCAACTAAAGTAGTGACCAGAAACAGACCATGGGAACTACACATGTATGAGTTCATTGCAGTGTTACAAGGCGGGCTTCTTACAAAAGCAAAACACTCTATTACAGATGAGGAAAGCAGCCATGGACATTTCAGCTGATGGGTACTGTGCTGTGAGGCAACTCTTTTATGAGTTTATGGGAATTTGTCTTGTGTAACCATACAGGAGACATTTTCCTAAAATGCTGAATGAATTATACAAGGTTCCCGGAATATGTTCATCCTCAACCTTACCGCACTGAAACACTTGTCTTTATTGCTTCCTTACTAGCATTAAACAATTAATATAGATATGACAGCTGTAATAAACACACAAACATGTGTGAGGAACAAATCAATAACAGTGTCTTTGTTTTTGTATGTACAGGATGACCTTTATGTATATAAATTATAAACTCCATTTCACTAAACATGGATCCTACGTCACAGATGTGAATAATGTGTCACACACAAAGTGGAGCCCCAATCACTGAGAGGAGATTGAAATTCCATTTCTCAAAGTGACATTAAAGGCTATTTTTCCCCCCAATGCTACTGTAAGTACCTACCTTATTGGATGCCTCTTGATACTGTAATTTTCTTCCTTCCACTCATTTCCGATAATCCCTCCAGCGCTGGTACCGGTCTCTGATCCAGCGCAGGCTCCTCATGTCACATGGAGTCTGTCCGGTGTGTGCACTCCTGACTGCCTGGCTGCATCCTTTAACTTTCATGTCACTTTTCTACTCTGCCATTCGGTGTTATCTACTGTCCTTGCGCCCACTCACTTCCTCCTTCACAGCCGTTCAGGAGGCGGGAGTTCTTCAGCCGGGAGTGAGTGGTGCTGGAACAGGTAAGTAATTAGGTATGGAATGACTATACAAGACACATCGATTTTATCGGGGTTATTCACTATTGAGCCGAAGGATACAGCCAT